GGAAGAGACAGAGTGATATAGGTTAGTCAAAGAATAAGGGAATACCGACATTTGTTTATCGCAATCTACGATTTGTAGATTCCTTCAAAGTGACTTCCACATACCAATTAAGTATACGTCTTAATATTATCGCGACCACGATTACTACAATAATCATGCTACCAGCGGTTATTATTTTCCAGTCTGAGAACAAATCGAATGGTAGATGTGCAATCGTCCAAATCTTACTCTCTTCAGCCTCACTGATTATGTTAGAAATGTGGACTAAAGTGGGGATTTCGACAAAAGTTAGCTGACCATTAAGATCAAATTGTGTTACTGTTGATGAACATTCTAAAAGACAGCTTTCTTTTATTATTGATTGCCTAAACGCCAATATAACTCTTCTCTGAGTAGGAAACCTCTCGAAATTTATTGAAAACTAAACGCTCTGACATGTTACATGTGCTAAGGCACTTCCAAAATCTGTAGCACACTGGTAGGTAAGCTCCGCTCCGGCTAAAGAGTTATAACATCCTTCCAAAAAAAGAAATTAAACATGGCATTTGGTTAAATCTTGCCTAATGGCTAGCCTTAGATTGTGGATATCACTTTGAATTCCCAAAGCTCCTAGACAGCCAATTTTTGCCTGAATTTTCTGACCTGTTTCTTTGATCGTTAATCCTGAAGCTGTGACTGGTAAAGCAAATTCTGGTGTCTTCATTACTCTTTCCAGATGATGGTCATAACAGGTGCACGATACATTCTCTCCCCCACTCACACACTGACATGTCTCATGCGGCATATGACACCGCATATTCTCAGCAAGCTTTCTGCTAGCGCATTTTAGAGCTCCTATAGTCTCTACTATTTTTGATCCAGTGGGAGATGGTTGCAGCATGACAGTAGTCCTATCATTTGATAGAAAGTATTTGTTCAACAGTGGTAATGACGGAACATGAGCATTAACTAATCCTAGTCTTACTCCTCCTAGCTTGGCCATCTCGGACTCGCGTAGGACTCTCTTCTCCTGAACTAACGCCTGTGATTTGTGTAGCTAAAGTGTCACGGATGGCGCCCACAGTACGTAAACCCTAAACTCTCGCTGGGCTCCCCTTCAAATTCTTATAACTTAGATTTGATTTTGACCGCCGCACACTTCTTTCCCAATCAAGATCTCACCAATGGACATTTTTCAGAAGAAACAGTATTTTTCTTGAACGGTCTTGAGTAATATTCAACCTTTTTCTGAAATACCAGATTAATCCTTTCCACTCTCAAGCCTAAAATCCCTGCCGCTTCTTCTTTAGACCCTTTTAATAACAGACATATTTTTTGATCCTGTGGGGTGACAGCTACTCTTATAGACTCGCTAATGGTACAAACCTGTTTCCCCGTTTTGTCCCGCACGCAATTTTCTGTCTTAGCATTAGGCGATACTACTTCTGAACAGCTCATAGCTAGTGCTGGCAGTGAATCTACTATTATCAAGATAGCACTGTGCGACACACGCCTCCAGTTATACTTGAAACGTCTCTCAGATTTCCTCTAACTTTTAGGTAATTCAGTATTTCGGCTACTCTTGCAAACTCGGCTTACTACCTTACAAATTACCCAAACGAACATTCTTAATATCTTCCGAAGGTAAATTGAAAGCAGTATGACTATTTTTAACAAAAAATAAAGACAGATAATACCTCAGCATAGAGTTACTATTATACTAAGAGTTTGAAATGGTGATGCACACTGAGGATTGAGAAGAGCTTCTTTACAAAAACGACGGCGAATAAGTTTTCAAAGAGGATTAGCAGAGCGCTCTAGGTTTATTTGCTTACCTAGCTTCCCTTCTTGCCAGAACGTAACAACTGGTAAATACCTTTTTACGACTATTTTATGAGGTAAGCTTATTACTTGATGGAAAAATAATTCTTTTGTATTAACACAGTATGGATGGGAGCAGACTTCTGTCAGAGACAACCTTTCCGTTAATCTGATCATTACTCCCACTTTAACGCAGCTTTCACTGCATAATCTACAACCCACTTTTTTATCCTCTTCTCCTTTATGATGTAAAATGAGGCGTTAACTCTTCTCCGAGCTCTGATAGCTACCCTGTTTCGTTTTCTACATGATAAACCTTTTCCTTATTGTGGTAAAAGCATAATTTTGTTCCATTTTTCTGGCACCCGTTGTCTTTACAATATGCGCTTGTACCTGTCACTGGCCCTTTACCTATGCAATCAGCTCGTTGTTCTAATTCCTGAGTATGCCACAAATGCAGAGCTTCTGCTAAGAGTTCCCTTCCACATAGTAGCTCTATTTGATAGTACTGTCTCACTTTTTGAACATCTGAGCATTCCGGACTTAGTTGCACATTATAGATCTCACTTGGTAGGGTTATCCATGCCAATTCTTTAACCGTCTCCGTTTCCGTGTCGTTCGGTTCCCGATCACCAATACAACCTGACGTCCAATCCTCACATTCACACCTTTCAACACAAATGCTCTCTCTCACATGTCTATTCCTACATTCCAGCATGTGCCAGCAATAGTTATCCAACCTGTTTCTCATAACAAAAATGCTGGATGAAACAAAATTTTGAAACGTTACATAAGTTAAATTATCTTTCAAATTACATTTGGTCGACACTTGACCAGTGACAAGAGTTAAAGAAATTAATAGTCTACATACTACTAACGCCAGATGGCTTACCATACTCTTAGGCAATGGTCTAAAATCCTGTCTTTCACTTGCTTTTTCATTTCTTGTGACAGTGGTCTTAACTACTGGTTTCGTTTTCTCCTCTTTTTTACTTTCCTTCTTAGAAACTTCAAGCGAATATAAATGATTTATGGACCTCTCTATTTGTTTCTGGTGTGACATCTTTACCGTTGCCGTTCTCACCTCCCCATCAAAATCTTTATTCAATTTAATAACTTCTCCTATTTTCCAAAACGGCCTCTTGGTTTGCTCATCGTGTGCCAACACAATCTCCTCCACCTGAAGAAGATTCTCACCTAGATGTTGTTTCGTATGATTGTGCTCATCTCATAGGCTTTGCAGGTGTTCCGTTCCCCAAATATGCCAAAATTTGTCCATTAATCTGCTAGCTGTTTGATAATCTTCAAGCATACTGTCCCTATCCGACGGTGGAAGATATGTTAGGTCGTCTTCCTCGTCCGCAAACGCTGACAAAAAGGAGCTCCTATTTGATAGCTGAAAATCGGTTGGTCTAAGCACTAGAGACTGTGGGTCATCATACAAAGATTTTAAGGGTCTGGTGTTGACAATAGCCTTCGCCTCGCAGATCAACATGCTATACGCCTCTAAAGTCAACACTATACGTCCAATGGCTTTATTGATTGATTGTTTGACCACGCCTACCAATCCTTCATAGTAACCTCCTCTCTATAGAGCTGGGGGAGGGTGGAGGGGGGAGGGGGGTTACAGAATACCATCGGATGTGATTCTTGCTTGTCCACTTCTACAACTTTCTTTCTCCGCTAACTTTTCCCATAAGATGTCAACTAAACGACTGGCTCCTTTAAAAGTAGTTCCATTATCTGCGCATATCACTACGGGTAATCCTCTGCGTGACACGAACCTCTTAAAACAGTTTAAAAAACGTTCTGTAGACAAGTCAGAAACTACTTCTAAGCGCACTGCCCTATTGGTTAGACACGTAAACAATGAGACCCAAACTTTTACTTTTCTATCTTCTAGTTTTATGACTGAAGGTCCAAAATAAAGTAAGCCACAAGATTTGAACGGTTTCGATCTACTGATTCTGAATGATGGTAACGGTGGAAATTTTGAAATCAGATAAGGGGTCGCTTTCCAGCGTTTGCAAATTGTGCACTGGTTGATTACTTGTTTAACAATTTTCCGTCCTTTTATTATCCACCACTGACGTCTCGCTTGTGCTAACTTTATTTGGGTAGAAGCATGCAACAGACTTTCATGGACTTCCTTACCGATTAGTTTGATAATCTTTAGTAGGAAGAAGTGTCAGCTCTTGACCTAGTCCTTCGCTAAGATTCCTGAACCTTCCGACACATTTTAGCATTCCGTCTCGGTGAACAATACATAGCTTAATCATGAACTCTATTGTCTTTTTGGCCTGATGATCCTCAAAACAGTCGCCAATACGAATTCTCTGACCCTGCGCTACCAAAATATGTGTTCCTCTCATCATCTCGTTGGAGTGATGGGTCCTAGGCGTTCTGTATCAACTAACATGTCGAATAAGCTATGATGTTCCTCTCTATCTAACTTACGGCTAATCTTTTTGATAAGGCGCAAACAGTAACTAACCACTCTCTCTAGTCTGGCCCAACTCGAGAAACTATCCGCTTGCACCATGGCGGGGGTACCCCTCTCAGAATTGGATAAATCCGTACTTAAATTAGCCATCTTTTCCTCTTAAGTTACAGCCTGTCCGAACTCATCTTCGTTACCTTACAACCATGAAGGGCCTTCCTGCCAAATTTCATTTTCCTCCACTTGTGCTAAACTACACCCTTGAGTAGGTATGTCCGTGGGATTCTCCTTCCCTGCAATGTGATAAAACTCAGTATGAGAGAATTTTCTGATTTCATTGACACTGTTTTCTACAAATTTAGGTAACAATTTGGAACTAGCTATCCAATCTAAAGTACACTTAGAATCTGTCCATAATATTGTCTTTTGTATTGTTAGTTGACACTCAGTCCTTACAAATTTTATGGCTTTAACGCCTATCCAAACTGCTAGGAGCTCCAATCTTGATAGTTACTTCTTTACAAGACTTCAGTCTAGACTTTGCAAATATTATTGCAGACTTCCACTCATCTCTCTCACAGAACCTTTTATATACCGCTACAGCATAACAGAAGGCCGAAGCATCAGTAAAGGCTTGCAGCCGTATTTTTGTTGCGTCTGAACTAAGTGCGAATTGCGACAGCTTTATTGCGTTGGCGTCCTTCCAAATGTCAGCAATCTTCTCCCATCTGCGTCCGAATGATTCAGGAAGTACCTTGTTCTACTCATATTCCTCAACACACAATTTTTGGAAATAGAGTTTCGCTTTAATGAAAATCAGTGTTGAATATCCAAGCGGATCATAATTACTAGCTAACTGGTTTAAGACTTTTCTTTTTGTATATGGAGGAACAACAGAGATTTTATTAGCATTAAAGAGAAGTACGTCTGACTGCGGTTTCCAGATAATGTCTAGAATCTTTGTTGATTCTTTCAAGACTGCTAAGTCTCCTTTATCTATGTGTGCCTCAAACTCTGGAATATTAGATGCCCATTCTCTCAGATTCATATTGGCTTTAGCAAATTCCTGTTTTGCAAACTTATACAAAGCCTTAGCGTCTGTCAAGTCTCTTACTCCTACTAGTAAATTGTCTACTTACATATTTTGTGTTATCATATGCGCATACCGCTTTTCTTCCTCACTACGTGCCGCACCCGCGAGTATGTTTGTGAAGTGATACCTTATGACTGCCCCCAAGAGAAACGGAGAAGAAATAACGCCGAAAGCAATTCTTGTGGACCTGTAAATTTCCAAGTTTTTCATAGAAACATCTTTACTTAGGTCTTTTAACCAGATGAACCTTGTGGAATCCTATCGTTGGGGGCTAATTTCAAGTACTTAGAACATCTGAATTGGAGCTGCATTCCGCAAAGTAATGGTAGCAAAATAGGACCTCTAAACAGCGCTTCATTTGAACTCTTCATACTTTTATTTGCCTTTGCCGATGCATCGTATACAATGCAAACTTTAGTTGTTGACTTGTGCTTAGTAACTGCCGCTTGATGTGGAAGATAGTGAACTAAACCGGTTGTTTTCACCCTTGGTACCTTTTCAATAATGTTATTCTTTTCCTGGTGTTTAAGAATCGCGCTGTATTGTTGGAGTAGATCCGCATCTGTTCTTAGTCTCTTAACTAAGTTCCTCAAGCGTCCCAAACATAGTCCGAAATTGCTCGTTAATCTAGAGAATTCGTCCTTCCATGGCCATTTGACCTCATACTTGTTATTTACAAACTTATTGGAGTCCTCAAAAAGTTGTCATCGTCTCTCTCTTTGATTGAATCGTTTATACCTATCCTCTTAAGGTTCCAGAATTCTTCAACATTTGTCAGGTCCACTGATTGCGAACTTATAGGCCCGTTAGAATGCTTAAATTTTAGCATATCCACCCCTTGACCGATATGCATGAGCCCACCTTCACTTATGGCCTCACCCGTAATAAACGTTTCCATGTTAGTACTGTGTACTCTCCCGATTCGCATTTTGCTTAACTCGATTAAAGCAGTGGAGGTAGCTTTCCCCCAATGGACAACTTAATGCTCTCTTGGTTAAAAGTCGGGCCAATATTTTTCATTTGATGTAGCAACTTGTCTAACTTATTGTAAAACATTCGCAAATCTTCCGTATACTTTGGGCATCGTGGTAGCTCATGGACCTGTTGGTAGAGCGATCTTATGATCAGAAGTTCGTCACCGAAACGTGCTTTCAATTTATTTACTGCCACTTCGTAATTTTCGTTTGTCATCTGTATGCCGTCTGTAACGTCTATTGCCTTTCCTCCGAAGCAGCTTTTAAGATAAGTGAATTTCTGAACCGGAGCGATGTTCTGTGAATTGGTAGAAACGCTAAAACTATCCCAGAATCTGAACCACTCTTTAGGGTCCCCCGAAAACCTGGGTAACTTTAGTTCCGGCAACTTAGTGCACTGAGTTGGGTTTACGTTAAACTCTTTTTTCTCTTTCCTTGTATTCTTACCATACGTGGCGATATCCCTTTTTTAAAGTATCAATAGCGTCCTGCGCCTCTACTAGTTTCTCAGAAAAACTACCTGGTTGTCTCTCATAATCCTCGTACATTTTACCTTCACTTGTTTTCTCTTGTTTTGAGGATTCTCTTAAAAACTTTGTATACTCTGCATGCTTAAGCTCTATTCTTTTGCAGCTACTCTGTATGCGTTTAAGCGCGTCTTTTAAGGTCTCTGAATCCGCTTCTTCTTTGGACAATTTTTCTACCTCTTTCAAATCATCCCGTAGCCTTCTCGCGAACCTAGTCACAACTGCTCTTATGGTTTGTGATATTTTCTCTCGTTTCTGAACTGGACTGAACTGAACCCCCTCACCCTAGGCACTAAATAAAATATTGCAACTAAAATGACTTTGTGACTACTAAACTGATCTGAAGGACTTTTTGCAACATTTTAATATCGGGAGTTCCTGCTTCACTAAAATTTTATTCAAGAGAGAAATTTTGATGATTTAGAGTAGAATCTACAAAGGAACAAGAGACAAGAGATGTAAGGGAAACACGCGACTTAAAAGACAAGAATCAAGGTTGGGCAGAAGGAAAAGAGAAAATTGATACAGAACAACAAAGTAATTTAAAAACTCCAAATTAACAAAATTCACCCACCTCAAATTCCCAGACGGGCTGACAAAGAGTTACAGAGAATACAGATTAATACTAGGAAATCAAAACGCACCGAAGCTCACTCGTGAATGTTTTTTCCGAAGAATGCCAAATGGGCATGCTTTGCACCTCTTTATAAGCAAATCGTTTAGCGCCTGCGTCTTATAGATATTCGTTGGACGCATACAGTTGTTGCCGAGCCTACCCGTTTCGGAGGTTTATCATGCCTCACTCGAACGGCCGGCGTCTGTAGATTTTGTACAGCCCGACCGATCCGTTCCAAACTGTGCCCGTCTGACGAGTAAAGCTCCTGCGCTTTCTTTTTTGACAGAACCTGTTGCGCGTGTGCAACAGTTACCAGACTATTAGTTTTATTATTGATTTATCTTAAAATTTGATAACAGCTATTCATTTGGGCATCAAAGGAATAATGCCTTTGTCACAGTTACAGAGTTGGAAATAGTGTAAAAAATGTTAAATGATTGCCAAATATCAGAAAATGAATAAATAAGCAAAATAAAAATAAAAACAAAATCAAAAATAAAGTAACAAAAGTCTGTTTTTTGTTCATATTTCATTGTTCGCTTTTTTTTCCGAATGATAAATTTTTTAAAGTTAGAGGAGATCCACAGCCTAACTTTCAGGTAATACTTTTTTTTTAGTGTCTTTAATCTGTGTGCATTTTACCCAGTTTACCCTGTTGGTTGATATACATATATATCAAAAGTATCGTTTCCGTTGTCTTCCGCAAAAGTTTCTCCGTTTTTTTTTTTTTCAGTGTCCCGTTCAATGCCATCTCTCGTTCCCCCAAACCTCCATTCTATATCCTCAACCAATATCGTTAGTTTAATCTACTATCAGAATTTTTGTTTTAAAAGAAGCTGTTGTACTCTTTTTTTTTTTTGCTACTATTGCCATAGTTGTTACCAGTTTTTTCTTTGTCTTTATCACATACTGATAATAAATTAGCCAAACGCTATATGTTATTCAAAAAGAAAAAAAAAAGAAAAAATAACAAAAATCACCTAAAATTATCAAAGAAAATGAAAGCATAAAAACGGGAAGAAGCATAAAAAAAAAATTTGGAATTTATAGTCAGTTTATTATTTTGTACGATAATTGATTTCTTTATTTTTATTTTTTCTAACTATAAAACATTGGAGATTAAAAAAATGATTTTCATTGACACATTGTATAATTTTTTCTTCACCCAACTTCTTATTTGTCTGTTTGTGTGTTCATAATGTTGTCTATAGGCTTTTTTTGATAATATAAACAGGAAGGTAAACGTCTAAGCACGATAGCGATGCTTGAGATTCATTTGATATTTAATTGAGACAAATGTTATTCCACTTTCAAAAGCTCTTGGATCAGGAAGCAGAAACGGTAGAAAGAGCAATGGAAAAAAATGAGGAAAAGTTATATTTATAACATAGTTTTATCAATCTATCACTCATTACATCGGCGCTATCGAAGCTGTCTTCACAGAAGCCCCGTTAAATCTTGAGAAAGCCTTCAGATTGCAGCAAAAAGAAACAGAATTGTTTTTTTTCAGCGGCGGGGAGGGGGAAGGGGGGCAATCAAATAGTTTCCGTTTTGGTTTTCTGG